CAGAGCGAGATATTTAAAGTCGGTTTTTTTTTTGTTAGAAAAAAAGAAGGTTATCGTCTTTCTATTGTTGTTTTTCATTGTCGCTTCTGAACTTAATCTTTATGTATAAAAATTTAGCATCCCTACGCTTGTGTCCACAAAACTGAAACAACATAACTTTTGAACAGGAGAGTGTTTTTATACACTTTTAATTCCGATGTTCCAGCGGAAACGAAAAAAAAGCCACAACAGCGTGACCGGGTTTCATCGTCATGCACAAATTAAGTACCATTATAGTACCATCTAAATCACTCGAAAATTCTATTTTTCTCCGTAACAAAACTCATCTCGAGTTAAAAATTAGAATAGGTACTTATTCACTGCATTCTTTTTTAAATTTCGCTTCAGACAGCTCATGCGATGAGATGTCTGGAGCTAAAGGTCAAAGGCTCTATTCCTCTGGCTGCAAACTTCAACAACGGGAACGATGTCTGCTATTTGTCATTGCAACTAAAGTTAAGTCTCCTTTTGAACTGCGCAAAGGAATCTCGAACCGATTTATCTCAGAAAATTTCTTCCAAAGCTTCGTTTATATAAGTGTTAGTTTTTTGTTAGTGAAAATTCTTCCTTTCTTAAGTTTATCTCGTATTGTCATCACTTACGAAATCAATACTCTGTCTATTATAGTATTGATATCACTTTCGGAAAAACGTTGTCTATTTGTTTGGTTCTGCTTTTTTAAAAGTTGTGACACTATCTTAAACCATCATGTTATTTTATTATAATTGGGAAAATAAGAAGGGTAAGAGATATAACTAATACAATATATTACATACACGTTTCATATAGCCTCCTTTTAACACAAGTTTAAGACTGACTTTTGAGCTGGTCTATTGATTTGATACTACAGAACTATTGCTACGAATAAGCTACGAAAAAATGTAGTAAGCTACGAATAAATGTTTTCAGTGCATCGACGTTAATATTTCTCATGGACGAAGCTGAAAGTGAACTTGTGAATAGTCCTGCCACGTAGCTTACGGGGTGGGGGTGGGCCACCCTCGTTTGTTCCAGGGCTCAAGGCCACGCCGCCCCACCGACCGCAACGTTCAATGCTTCGACTTACGTAACTCCTTTGTTTAAAAATACGTTCCACGCTCGTTTTAAATAATACGGTCTGGGCTATAACGAACTGCCAATTAATTAAACCTTAATCCACGTTTTTAATTTCCTATAATAATGATCTGGACCTTTCTAACGATGATAATGGACTCAAAGTAAGTGAGTCAACGCGGTTGAAGTTTATTTCACAATGAATAAAATGTCACAAGTACACTCTAGATTAAACTTTTCCATAATGATGTAACCACATATAATTTATATCTACAAGATACTCACTTGGTGACTTTGAAATAAAAGTAGTTATATATTATACAAACATTCCAAATCCGAATTTCGGTTCGAATACTTATATAGCTTAGCTTTTAACAAAATTAAGCAAAGAAATAAAAATATTAAAATGGGAACAGTCACGTACCAAATGATTGTTAATTTCGTAATCTGAGATTTTCCCTCTAGTATGTATTAGGTGATTGTTTAAAATTGATTGATAGTCAACGATTTTGCTTTGATATAATAATTATTAACGTTATGAAACGAATTCCCATAGCAAGTCTTAATTTAATGCGGATAAAATATATAAGTGCCCTCCACTACGTACTAGAGCGTTGGCGGATCTATATGTGAAAAGGTCAAGAACAATATCCCATGTCAGAGTCGATAAACGAAGCTTTTGTTCCCATACGATGTTTTAGAATTTTATTTATTCTACACTCTGTGTTTATGTGTCATATTAGTAATAAAAGTGTGAAATGTTGATGTGTTTACAACCCGTAGGAAAAATAAACCTTTATTTGCTGTATTGTATCCATTTCAATTTGACATAATTTAAGTAATTAATAATCCACATTATAAAATTACTAGTTCGCGGCGGAAACTCGTTATTGGTAACAGGCATCAATTGACCTGATTAAGATTCCCAGATTATTCATTTAATTCTTAAATAAATTTAAAATTTAGTAACAAAGGCTATTGATTGCACTGTGGTAGGGCCACGCAACAGTTTCGACTGTTGCACGTATGGGCAGGTCCGTCCGGGGGTACCACGACCTCACAGAAGACCGGCGTGAAGTGGAAGTTTATACTTTGCGTTTCTTCTGGTGAGTGACGTAGCCGGGGCTGACTTTATTAATAGGTGGCAACGCATCTAGATAAATGTTATTCTTTCCGTTTCATCAATAGATAATGAAACGGAATGCATAACATTTTTATTAATTGAAAACAAAACTGACTCCTAATATCTCACTCACCATACATTCTGTATTTAATTTTGATGATGTATCTCTGGAGTTAAAAACTTACAAATAAAAATTAAAAGACAAAATAATATTAAAATCCGTGTATAAATGGCGGAGTTCTGAGGTAACAAAAAAACAATCGAATTGAGAACGTTAGTTTTAGAACGTCGTCTGGTGAGTGAGGTAGCCGGAGCCCAATTTCCATAACGGTTGTCAACGCTGCAAACTCTCGGGTGTAGCAGATATCCATTGGCGGCGGTATTCACTTAACATCAGGTGAACCGTCTGCTCGTTTGACAACTTTTAACATAAAAAAAAAGAAAGATACTAGTACCTTTTTTAGGCGGTTAGTCATTCCAAAGCCTAGCATAAATTTGCTATTATTAATCCGTGCGAGACTCGTAGGATTTAAAGAAAACATCACCGGTCGTTTTCGCTAAAGTGCTGTTACAGTTTCCACCCTTGCTGGACGAGATAGTAGGCGAGCGATTTTCCAGATTAAAATCTCCGACTCGTAAGCGCTAACAAAAGTTTCACCGCTGCGAATTCTCAACTGTGTGGCAACGCCAGCCACTACGCCTTTTCATCCGAACGACTTTCACATTTTGCGAACAAAGCCATCGGTTCAACGCAAAGTTGACAGTTCGATGTATAACAAAAGTTTATCTAGCATGCCTGTGTATATATAGGCAAATGAATTAATTATTTTATGCATCTATGTAATATGAATAGTAGCAGTTAACTGCAATCAAATTAGTTTTTTCGTTCAGTACAGTCTGTTCAGACCGTGTTAGTGCACGAATCGGAAACCTCGTTAGAAGTACCACTGCCTCAAAGAAGACAGTCGTAAAGTGGAAGTATTGCATCTTTGCGTTTCGTCCGTTGAGTGAGGTAGCCCGCTTTCACTTTTATTGTTGTTGTTGGTCTTAATGAACAACCGTAAACACTTCATTCGGCAAACAGCAGGCAACGCTCGTTAACTTTTCCACATGCAGCAAGTACCTAAACTAATTATTAAATGAAACAAAAATCCCAACTGAATTAAAATAGGTACTAACAAATCCTCTGTTTTTTTTTCATTGACACTTTAATAATGTAGTTTGATATACCCTATGTTACACGTTAATTCATTTGTTAAAATACCTCAAAGGGTTTAGGTATTGAGAGCGTTCGCAAAAAAGAAGACTTGCATAAATATATACATGTACATAGTAGTAGATGTAGATACATACATGTTAGCGCAGAATTTAATAAATATATGGTTATTATTTTGATTTTTTCTCATATTATATATATAAAATTTATCATAGACTGCTGATTATGTGAAATTTATAAATGCATCTCAGACGGAACAATTCGACGTGATTTTGATATTTGTACGTAACTACATAATTACATAACATTCTAATTATTCTTATAAGTTAATCAACAATCACATTTTGTTATAGCATGTTATTTTAAATGAGCAACCATGTCATCCACTCAATAATATTAGAACTTCTATAAAGTAATAAAGTTTCGTTTTTCTATTCTTATTGCGCCGACTTGAGGAAAAGTTTCTTTGAAACCCCACATGACCCAAGTTCATTGCCTATAATATTTATATTCATATATTTTCTATTATACAGCGTGTCGTTACCATCGCGACAATAAATGAACACACGTCTAACACTACTTGCCAATAATCATAAAAAAAATATTAACGTTAAACAAAATCCATAATTAAAAAAAATTTTTTTTTCAAACAAACTAATTAAGTAAAAAAAAAAAAAAAAAGTTGTAACATCCCATACAACTCGCGCCACAGCGTCGCATTACAAGCCTCTCCTTCTAACAGTATGTTTTGTCTCTTTTAAATTCATCCAACCCATATGCTTTGTGACCTTTACAAATGAACTTTACATTACACTTTTATAGGTAAGGTGTTCTAAAATTCTTTGTTTTGGAAAATTTAATAACTCTGTAAATATTGATGTTTAAAGAATTTAAATGTTTAATACAACTTTAAAAAGTTATGCCCTATATGTGTGTTCATTTATTGTCGCGATGGTAACGACACGCTGTATAATCTCAGTGGATTCAAACAGGCTGAAATGATGATGATGATGATGATGATATAGTCTATTGCTAATTTACGACAATCGCCTGAAATGGAAAAAATGTCTAACATTCTCCAAATCTCTTTCGTAGATCGTAGTAGAATCAAGCCTGTTTTGCATCAAATGTGTCCACAAAATACATGTAGGAATAACTAATTTTGGAACACGATATTTGGCATATAAATCCTTATTCCTTTTCCGGGTCAATCCCGTAACTTGACGGGAAAATCTTTCCACTTTCCTTACTGCCGTAATAAAAGGAAAAGGGCGCATCGCTCATAATTAGACTTTTGTGAAGCTTGAATTATCTTTAGACACAATAAGGTGTGATTATTTTTCTTACCATCTTGCACTATAGTTGTAATTTGAAATAGTTGTAATTTGAAATGTGAATGTTTCTAGACAAATTTTTTATTCCGTTCCATAATGCGGAAAAAAATCGACAGGATATCTAGAAAAAATTGCATTATTACATAATAACCTAGTCTTTAAATAGAAAGTCCTCCTGTGAGGACTTTGTTGTTTTTAAAGCAAAAGAATAACTGAACTTCGTATTCTTTTCAGAATGCCTTCAGCAGCGCCCCCGGAGAATGGCGGCGCGCCACGCAGCGAGCTGGAGCAACTGCAGATGCGCGCCGGCCAAGTCACCGATGAGGTAAGCAATGGCTCAAGCACTATTGCCACAAAAGCGCAAAATACGGCAATGGTGTCTTCCCCTGGCACCACACTAGGCACTATATGAACAGCCCTGTAGTTCGGGGTTCATAGAATAGGACTAAGTTATCACCTGCCTATCGTAAAAGGCGACTAAAAACGGACACGGATTAGCAGCAGCTCGAAGTTGCCTCGAGCTGCTGTAAGATGGCAAGGGAATCGGGTAAGGTTTACCCTTCTGCCAGGCGCGCTCACGCCCAGTACCGAGGGACACCGGTGCGTTCCATTGGAGATCCCGGGGTCCTTCCAACGAACAGGAGGTGGCCACCGAGGGGGTTTTAGTGGGTAAAAACCCAACATAACCAAGGCACTATATGAGATAGGATTGCAGTTCTTTGGAACAGCGTGAAGTAACAGTTACCTTAAGATTATCTGAACTAATAAAAGCCCTAATAGATATATACTTTATTACATTAGGGCAATGATCACTCACATCACTCGAAATGTGCAGCTGTTTAGAGCAAGATGGCTAAAAAACAAGCAGTTCACTGATGGTAAATGATCACGAACTCTTATTTAACTTCTTAGTTAACTCCATAACGAGATTAAAGTATCAATAATTTAAAAAAAAAATCTTACATGCTCCCACCGACAAAAACTGATCTTTGTTGGGTAGCACTGTTATACTTCCCCAAATAAAGTCGACATAATTCGACGTTACAAAGCGTTGCGTTACTACTACAAGAACGTCCAGAATGACTATATTTGTAATTTTAATGCGTCATAATAATTATCAGGTTAAATTTGAAGTTTTGTTACCTTCAAAACACTATCAAAATGATAATAAAAATTCATAACATTTTATACCGGACATTTTAAATCAGGCCATTTCTATGAAAAAGAAATGGAAATTGAATGGATGGAAAGTTGTTTTTAGAATAAGACATTACAGTATCTCAGAAAGGAAGATAATGCAAAATCAGAAGGAGCAAGTATAAACTCTAAAAGATGGATGGATGCTCTATATATATTTAATGGAGGATTAAGATTTTGCCATGTTTTCTCATAAATTATAAATCTTTTATACTATTTCAGTGATGGATTCTTTGTGGCAATCTTTATGCCAATTAAATGTTTGTTCATTTCAGTCATTGGAGTCCACGCGTCGCATGATGCAACTATGCGAGGAGGTAAGATCACTCAAAATTTCACTTGACCCTTGTGTACTTTGAAAATATTTAAGTGAACATAACTAAAAACTTGCTTTATAATAGAACAATTTGGCTCAACTAAAAACTACTGCAGTTTTCTTCTAAGTGTTTTTGCAGTGCATCGCTTTTAGTTATGGTCATTTAAATTAATTATAATTGTTCATCTCTCAATAATTGTTGTATTAAATAATTATAAATGATCTTTATTTAGTCATTTGAACAAAATTTCAAGAACCAAAGGTAACTTGTAGCCTTAACAATTTTGTGAACGTTCATACCTTTCAAATTCAAATATTGAACCAATAAAAGTTACTGTTTAAAGAGAAATAGATTCTTTCAATAAATATTTTCATTCTTATTGTGTACAATATATCTATAACTATGTTTTAAATTCCAAAGCGTACAACATGTAATGTATACTGGAGAGAGTCCCCAATTGTCATTACGATACGGTATCCGGTCACTTCGAGTGCGTGTAACGATATCAGTGAAATTTAAGTTTCCCAAATAGTTTTTGAGTGTTTATGTTCAGTTGTTCCGTTTGTTATGTGATTATTTGTGATATGTGAGAGAGGTGTTCTCGATGCGAGGGAGTGGGGGGTATAGCGGAAGTGTCCTGGACAGCCCCAAGCTCGGTCAAGAACCGAGGCCCGAACCTCAGATCCATTTAGGGCGCAGCCTCTGCTACCCCTGGCTGTTGTGTGTCGATGTTGCTAATTACATTATCGATGTTTTTATTTTTTCTTTTCTTTTTTCGTAGCTCTCCCGTTCCGATTATCCGATATTTTCCACCCCCGTATTCCCTAACGCCTATATATGTGTTATTTGTTTATTTGTTATAACCATACGTAAATGGGTGTTGCATGATCCGTGCCTTATGTGTCCGAAAATGTTAGAGGTCTCTCTAGCCCTTTGTGTTGTTCGTAGAGTTGTGTAATTTTTTTAAGTGAGTTACTCAATACTTTTCGGACCGAACGGTCCCAGGCGTTGACAGTTAATTCTGGAAATTTCTAATTTTATAAGGCGGCACGACGTTATTAACATTGCAAGGGTGCCGTTCAGTTAACTGTCAACCCCGGCGAAAGATCGTCCAAACCAGCTGTTGTTATTTCCATAGCATGAAGCCCATTAATTTAACATAACAAGTCCTTCAAATAGTTCTACATACTTCTCCCAAATACTAGAATTTCCTTTAGCGCATATCGATGTGACCCGAAACGTTTGCTTTCCTTTCTCGACTTTCTTATTTTTGTTGTGCTTGGGCTTGCTTTCGAAATGGTACCCCGAAAACTAAATTCTCTTAAGTTACAAATCCGCCACTGTGGCTGATTTCACCATCTAAAGCTCTTATCTCTTTCTTATTTGAAAATTTACTTCTAGAGCTCAGGCGTTGCAATGTCTGTCTCTATTTATATTTATTTTCCAATACAATATCTTTAAATACATTAAAATTATGCATTCCTACACAAACTGCTCACTTCTTTCTCTTTATTTTCTGATATTTATGTTCGTACTATCCTGTTTTAGTTGTCTCTGTAAAGTAGGTCTCTGTGTAGTGGCTGCTCTCTGTTGTTGATTGTAATCTATTATGTTATATAATTTTCATGCCTTGTCGAACATTCACAATACTGTCAATAAATGGGCGAATACACACCATGGACCTACCTACCACTTGACTCCAACAGATATATCGAGCTACACCTGAATGCAACTCTCATACCAAATACAGACTAATGATATGATTTTATTTTAAAATTGTTTACAACAAAACGTTATTTTTTGTGTAACTGTTATTTTTAACTATACATTATTTACTGCTTTATTAATTTTCGTTTCATATTAAAAAATTATTTTCATTATTATTTTATGTTTTATCGATTATTATTACTGATAAAACTCAATTATGTCTTTACCGTATACAACGTACCAAATATATGTATTGAACACAATACAGAATTCGCATTACTTCATAAACACTCTTCCAAGATACTAAGAAAGGCAACTCCAGTAACCTTATCAAATTTACAATAATTTTTAATGTAATAAGATATTGTGAATTCTGAAGTTGCCTTACTATCTCGCGACACTAGTTTAAGGGCAAATAAATACAGAAACTTGTTATACGCGCGTACCAAACGGACACAGTCCGAGTGCCGCGTATGACGATCATCACCCACCTTTCCACTCACTCCACTGTACCCCTCACAACTAACATGCTCTGTGACTTTTTGTTTCTGCGGCTGGTCTAGAGCAAGGAGGCCGGCATTCGAACTCTGGTCGCTCTAGACGACCAGGGAGGTGAGTGATATGCAAAGTTTGCAACACTAAATTACTTACAATTTTATCTATTTTACCTTTTTTCGCTAATCTTGTTCGAGCGCCGTAGGGTTTTCAGCCGACCCGAGGCGGGTCCATCGGCTCTGAAGAGCCTATGGGGGTAAAGCATCGACTGTTTGATAAAACCAACGACAGTTGAGCCAAATGCAAAGGTGCGGGCATCCTCCGAGCTTCAAACTTAACCGAATAACGACGCACACACAGCTTGTCACGGAAAACCCACATCTTTGTATGCCTTGTTTCTTATGTAGATTATATACACCACTTTGCACAACCTAACAGCGAGCGATATTTCCGATGAAGTCGGGCAACCGGACCGACGAATCGACATCATACAAATAACGAAGTTATATCAGATCGTACGATACTTTACATTGTGCATTTCAGATTGTTCGTACTCGACTCTCGAAACTTTACCTCAACCACATAAACGTATTTATATATATATAGATATATATACATAAATATATATATAAACGAGTGAAGTAAATTCGAAACGCTTCTCCTCAACGCACGACTCTTAACATCACACAGAATTATCATGAATCATATGAAACTGCGCACAGATGAAACTGGGTCTGGTTTTACTTGCAAGCTTCACTGCATGCATGTCGTTGTTGGTCGATTAGTGTGTGTTAGCGCCGGGCGGGCGCGCTCTGGGCACGCGCACGCACGCACGCACGGCACGCACACGCGCACGCACGCCGCCACGCACAGCCCCGCGCCGCGCCGACGCACGCGCGTCTCGCCAACCTCCGGCACCGCACCCCGCCACCCACACACCCCGATACTCTCTCCTGCGATATATTATTTTTGATTTGTATTTTATGTATAGAGCGAGGACGCCGGGGGGCAAGCGCTACATATGTTGAGTCACCAGGGCGGTAAGAGTCACTGAACAATGGGTAGTCCAAACGTGAGAACGTCTGTGTTGAATGTGCAGTAAAATAAATTAATCTCTTTGTTTTTTCCTTTGACGTTTCTCTTGAATAACGACTTATCTCAGATCGATGTTGCGTGTGTTTCTGTTTTCGATGGGGATGAATTTTAACAATATAGTGTAAATAGATACGCCCGATGGCCGTTCGTTGCTAAATGTCGCAAAAGACTGTGTAAACCTCTATCTTTTGCTGAAGATTTAATTTGAATGAGCTGCGCAATCTGTTTAGTTCTTCCGTTAAGTTTTTTTTTTTTTGATCGGAACGCTTTTTTATAGGTATCTTTATTTCTCTTTCCGAATCTCCTGTTCTCTTCTCTTAATGATACTGCGGTACTGAATTGAATGCGCGTTTACCGATTGTGTCTGTTGACGTTATAGATTAAATGGTATACGCCTTCATATCCATGGCTAAACGTACTATTAATGTTAGTGCAGTAGGTCTGTATCTGTTCTGTTAGCTCGATGCGATATGTGTTCTATGGCTGCGAGGCCGCCGCTCGCGCGTCCACACCACACGTTAGCTGGTTCATACCTCCTCTCGGTCTGATATGATACTTTGCTGCATTCACCGTTCATTTAGGAATGGCTTTTATCGATACGCTCATCCGCTAAGTTGATTTTGTTTTTTTTTTTTTTCACCGCCACGGGAGGAGTGGCCGCCGCCAGCGGCGACCTCACGCCCGTGCTCATTAACTCTTTTCTCTTCCTTTCTTTTATTTCGTTTTCCGTTTATCTCTTTAGTTGTTTGAGTTTGTCGTGTGAGTTGGGTCGCGGTCCGCGGCCGACCCCGCCGCCCGCGTACCCCTCCGACCGCTCAACGCATTGTTTGGCGAGCTATAGTGACATCATTATTGTGTTGTAGAGTCACGAGGTGGGCATGAGAACCCTGGTCATGCTGGATGAACAGGGCGGTAAGCATCCAGTAGTACTACTTACATCACCCATCATAGTAAGGCTTGCGTCCGAAATGCCGGGTCAAATTCCAAAACGGGGTCATTGGGTAGCGATGATTCGAATGTCTTGTTGCAAACAGAAAAATATTATTTGTTCACTTTAATGGATGAGTTGAGGTAAAATATGTTTCACCACCGTAATAAATATGATTAGTGAGTAAACAGCACCGAAACTCTCCTCGTTCCGGCGACCGCCCCGCCGTGGCACGGGACGTTGAGACCCTAACAATCATCTAAACAAATCAGACAGTATGAGTCGTTTTCTTTAGTTTTTTCACGCATCTAGCTATGCACGTATACTTCTAATGTCGCTGTTGGTTGCATGTGTTTTAGTATTTATGAGATTATTAATATTTCTATATGTTAGCCATTATGAATTATAGTGTTTAATCACATAGTATCAGCACATACATCATCTCTAAAGGTAAACTTTTGATTCTAGCATAATTCAGAACGGGCCAGATCAAGTGTGAGACAATATTTTATACAGACATCCTGACAACAAGACAACAAACACAATTTAAACTGTCTTAGTCGCTTTGGATTTGATAGAGTGGCTTCGGTGTTTATATCAGCATGAATTTAGATTAGACCACATAACCATGATATACTTACAGAGATCTCTTGTCTTGCACTTAATTCTGGTGATTGTCGAGAGCGTTGAGAATTTACGTAATAAACGATTAACAATTTCCAAAGAGATAAAATTTTTGTTAAATAAAAACTTGAATCATAATGAAAAGTAAACTATTGATCGCGTAGCATTCGAAAGATTAGGTGCTTCTTAAACACATTTATTAGGAGGTATCTTTGAAGGGCGGTCTTAAAGGTTGCATGTGTGTGTGTGGACAGAACAATTGGATAGGATCGAGGAGGGGATGGACCAGATCAACGCGGACATGCGGGAGGCCGAGAAGAATCTCTCGGGAATGGAGAAATGCTGCGGCATCTGCGTCCTGCCCTGCAATAAGTAAGTATTTTCTTTAAACCTATAATGTTGAATAAATGCTTAAGTGACAAGACGACAGCAGATGGTTTTTATGATCAGTTTGTTATTATGTTATCAAGTCCTCCGGCCTGAATATTTGAATTATTTTAAGCGAGCGCCTCGCTCTAACTTTTATTTCCTTCCTTAAAATTTGTAATAAAGCATTTGACATTTCGTTTCATATATTCTTGAATTACTCTGTATTCGACTACTGGAGTGGAATAAATACTGCGTTTTTATCTATTTTCTTTGTTTCCATTCTTGTACAGTTACAGACACACTGACCGGTGCTGATATAGCATTTAGTTTGGCAATACATGCTATGAGTAGGACATGGTGTGTTTCTGCAATTCCAGGGGTGCCTCCTTCAAAGAAGACGACGGAACCTGGAAGGGTAATGACGACGGCAAGGTGGTGAACAACCAGCCGCAGCGCGTCATGGACGAGAGGAACGGCATAGGCCCACAGGCGGGCTACATCGGCAGGTCGGTACCGGGCCAGTTTTACCACGGCCAACCTTTGCACATTTGTCCGCTGAGGATCAACTCAACTAATGGACCGTTCCCGCGTTTATCATCTCAGTTGGGAACGAGTTTATCGCTCTCTTAAAGAGATCTCTCGGTTTCTAAAAGAAAAAAAACGTATGTTTAATATTTTCCAGGGGTAAAATGACAAAAAGGAGGATGCACACCGAGTTTCTTCTCCGTTAGAGTTTAACCCCATTACGAAACGTTGGTGGATTTAAAAAAATGCCTGCATAAATGAAATGTATCTTCCTTATGTCGATGAATAAATTATTTTGATCCTTTTTTTATTTGAAAAGATGGTTTCGCCTGATGTTAAGTTATTACCGCTGACTGATAGACATTTACAACATGCCAGGGGTGTCAGATGCGTTGCCAACATTAAAAAACTGGAGTCCACACATCACCTCAGTCACCAGACGAAACGCGAAAGTGCAATACTTCTACTGCACGCCGGTCTTCTATAAGACCTTTATGCCTCGGACTAGCCCATACGCGCAACACGAAGCTGTTCGACGATCCCACTGCAGTAAGGGGAATTAAAAAGAATACGGGTTGCACTCCGGGAGTGCCGACAGAAGTGAAAACTTATTTTGGTGCGTTAGACATTTTTTAGATAAATAAAATAATATAAATAAACATTTTGTTGTAAAGTCATTTAAATATCTGTGATATCTGTGAATACCGCATCAACTGCACTCTTATATCTCGTTGCGCTAATATTGCGTTGATTGGACATAGCAAAAATCAAATTCTCTATTAAAAAATTCCACTAAGCACACACAATAGCCGCGTCTAGTAACGGTGTCGCGAGTCGAGAGATTATTTCCATCTAAAAATATGCATACCGCGCTAAAAGTTTTCACTTCGAAAATGCGCATCGCCGAATAAACCGCCAGGATAACGAACGACGCCCGCGAAGACGAGATGGAGGAGAACATGGGCCAGGTGAACACGATGATCGGGAACCTGCGCAACATGGCGCTCGACATGGGCTCCGAGCTGGAGAACCAGAACCGCCAGATCGACCGCATCAACCGCAAGGTAACGCGCCCACGTGGCACCGTAGAGCTCCCCCTGCCCCCCCCCCCCCCCCCCCCCCCCCCCCCCCCCCCTTGGCCGGTTTTCGCCGAGGGTCTGATTTCGCAGACAGCCACGAAGTTCACAAGTACAAAATATGATTATTTCCCCATACTTAGTTTCACTTTATGGGCACGCGTGAAATAGATTTCATTGATACCGTCATGTTCTTTAAAAGTGTTTAAAAATTTCCCCAACCGAATTTCGAGGGCGTGCATTTCTTGCGTCTTGCAAGTCTCATTTTCGAAGCACGCGTAAAATTGATTTCATTGATACCGTAATCGTCGTGTTGAAGAAGCCATCATGTTCTTTAAAAGTGTTTAGAAATTTCCTAACACCAATTTCGACGGCGCGAATTTCCTGCTTCTTGATATAGTCTCATTTTCGGTGCGCGCGTGAATTACATATCATCTATACCGTAATCGTTGTCTTCGAACTTCAGTAGGCCGTCATGTTCTTTAAAAGTGTTAAGAAATTTCTCCAACACTAAATTTCGACGGCGCGAATTTCTTGCGTCCTTAAAACAGTTTCATTTTCAGAGCACGCGTGTGCAATAGGTAATTCATTAATACCGTAATCGTCGTCTTAAAATTTCAGTAAGCCGTCATGTTCTATAAAAGCGTTTAGGAATTTCTCCACCATAAAATTACGACTGCGTGATTTCTTTTTAAGAAAAATATCTTGTTTTTTTTGCCACAAGTTTTAAGACTGTCTATTTTTAAAATCAGTTGTCTGCGAAATCGACCGATGTCTTGTTTATGTAAAAGAAAAGAATATTTATAGCGACTTTATCGAGTTTTATTTATATATCAACGTTTTTTCATGATCTTTACTTATTGACAATTAAAATTATATTCAAGGAGTTTATTACTAATAAAATTTCTCCATCATTATCATTATTTCCGTAGTGTCTGAATGTAGTTGGATGGTATATGTGTGTGTATTTAGCTCATTGTGTGTGTGTACAGCTTTCCCAAAAGTGCACATAATTTTTGTGATGTATTTTCCATTTAATATCGAGTGGTAGGCGAAATATTTTTGCCTGTATACGAATTGGGACTGCTGTATACACTTCATCCTAGCAGAACTGAATCTTGTCACTAATTTCTCCCTGTAAACTAATCCTTACCCAGTCGCTTGATCATCGAAACTAGCTTAGTCCCTAGTCCGTCCTAATCACTTGAAGCATGCCCTAACGTTTCCATACCGTGTAGAGTATTATAAACTTAGGCAGTTAGCAATCGTCAGTACGTTGGAGACATTCATACAAACTCATTCGACACAACCAGATGAACATTAGCAGACTTAGACTCTGAGTTTAGATCCGTTAAAGACCAACCAATCCAACAAACCCTTCCAACACCTCCAGCCTACTTACACATTCGAAATGTAGTAACATGGACATTACAAATGACGTCAAACTCCCTTAACACACTAAACCAGTATGAGTTATATTCCAAAATTAGTCCATTTAAAAAAAAATACAAAATACAAAAAATTACCATTTGATAATGAGGTTTTTCTCATTCAAAGGCAAGAGAGTGACCTACCAATATCTAACCAATATCAAAAGCAGTTCGTTTCTTGGTTTCCATTACACAGCTGGTTTAATGTGTCAAGGACATGCGCATCGATGCACATAAACGGACACACACAAAACGCTCTGTTGTCTATCATAGGGAGAATCGAACGATGAAAGAATAAGGGTGGCGAATCAGCGCGCGCACGAGCTCCTCAAGTAAACGACGGAACACACAAACACACACCCGTACATATAATACACACACACGTCTCGTGGTCTTTTCATTGCCGATTGCAGGGGACATACGACACCGACAATTAACAAAGAAAAAAAAATTGTTGACTTCCATTGTATAATACTTTGACTATATTAAAAGGGGGTAAAGTAACAGAAAAACAACAATATTCAAATTTGTGATTTGAAACAATAAATTACAAATCTTTAAACCGATGATAAAGCCAGATACTAAATTAGTTCATTGAAGATTGAAAAATTTGTATAATTAATTATTTTATTAATTATAAAAGTTTACAACCGACCGATGTCTTGTTTTGCACATTTCCTCTGAACATAGTTGAAATAATAAAATAATACCTAAACTTCTGTACTCGAACCACAAATAAAACACTACGAAACGTCATACTGCTCTGTCGTTTATTGCCACAGTGTAGCATTTCGCTTCTGTATTGGAATGGTATATCCAGAACGTCTTAGCCCTGCTTAAAGTGCATTATGCTGCATGTACCTTGGAATGTGGATAGTAACTGGTAATCATGTACTAACACACACAGTCAACCATTTGGTCACACGTCAAAAACTTTTCATTATCTGTGAAACTAACCATGTTTACTTTAACTCCTTGAAACTTTCGGATAATGGCCCGCATTAATAAAATGTTTTCCTAACGATACGCTTTAAATATAATCTAAGTATATAAAAAAGTATGTATATGTATTGCAAATCAAACTGTCAAGTTTAATGCTAAACTTGTCATTGTTTACAATGATATAGTGTTATTGTCTCAAAATTTTATTCCTGTTACTTTCATTAGTATTTTATTCTAACTGTAAAGTAGATTGACACTTGATGTAAACTTTGAGTTAATTTGATTTTTTCAATTAATTTTAGAGCTGCTATATTAATTGTATAATTGTTTTCGCCTTGCAAATAAGTTGTTTTAAATATTAGAATGGAAAAAACTGTGAAAAAAAAATAATTTTTGAATTCACCATTGTTAAGTGCACTGTATATATTCGTATAACATGTACGAATATGATACATTATAAAGAATAAACAGCAGTTCAATGTAAATCGTAAATTGATTCGATAATTAGTTATTGATTGACATGGATAAATTCCCACCAATAGATCTTTATTTAGAATCACTGTGTGACTATTACAATATGGAATAGAAAACAAAGCAGCGTATTCTGTATCTTAGGGCGAATCCAATGAAACGAGGATAACATTGGCCAACCAGCGTGCTCATGAGCTGCTCAAGTAAACGAAGATGGCGCTAGCACAGATAACACAAAAACTCACACGGTCACACTCACAAACGCATAAACACTTCTCAGACACACACGGAGACCGTATATGTTATGTGTTAAAAATAAAAAAATAATATTCTCAAAAATATAAATACATAATTATGACATATTCTAATAGCTGTCCCTAAAATTTTGGCTGTAAACGTTGCATATGATATAATCTCAATCAGAAGACCATAATCAGGTACTACTTACTCGTTAGTAAACATTAATTAATAAAAGATTTACCTTTTATTAATTAATAGTTATATTTATTATTATAATTATATTTATAGTTTAGAACAATGTCGGTCAACAAATTATGAATCATCTCTAAATATTTATTTCAATACATTTACTTACGTACAAAATTTTTGTAACAACACTGCAGTCGGCATGGAAATTGTTTTCTTGTTAATGTTACACTGTAAACATTTATTAAAATATTGATCCCTCGTTTTTATTCCAGAGTGATTGAAATACTACTGTATACATTGAACACCAGTTAATGGTAGCAATTTATATATTTTAGTATAATTAGTTTGAATTGTGAATCTCACCTTTTTTCTGGTGATGCTACATCCTTAACGTTAAGTTTTCTGTGTTGCTATTGAAGAAGATTATCATGAACTAATGCTATTAAAAATTTATTTTCACTTATTTTATTCTTTCATGTTAAGTGATTCTTATTAGAGAGATTACCCTTGTATGTTTATATAAAATTAATTGTAAGGGTGTTCATTATATACATTAGACTATGTTGTTTAATAACGTAATTTTCTAGTACAGTTATGAATATACTGTAATGGAATAACTAAGATATTTTAATAATTAATAATGTAATAGTGTATTTAACCCATATTAATCACGTTATTGATCACAAATTAAAATACTTTGCAATTGCTTATAATCTTGAAATTATTAATATAGTAAACATTATGTTAAAACGTGTTATTTTAAATCTTAATCTACTTGTACTAAACTAGTAGATCGAGGTAATTTGAAAGGTGAGCGGAGGGGCTATATGTGATAATAATCTCGGATTAAGTATCGTTTTAATGATATTCTCTATCTGTCTTTCTAAAACAGTGGCAGTGTCACGGTTTTAAAAATTTCATAAGAGCAATACATAGCTGTACACAGCAAAAATAAAAATGGTCTAAAAGCTTAACACGTATTTATTTCCTATTCGTAACTTATTTGCTTCTATGGGATTTAGCATGCCGACGACGGATATAATTTTGAAATAGATTTAAAAAACTTAGCGGGGCTTTATTTATCTAGTAATAAATGAAATTAATTTCAGTAACATTTAAGTTTATCATTTCCGAGTTTATCGATGTATTAAGATAGATTTTTTTTAACTAGACAACAGGAATATTCGTTACAGTGATACCTCATAATAATCAAAAGGTGATGATAAATTTGCTACTTTTCGTTGGTAAATATCCTAAAGTTGAGCATTATTGCATCATATCAAAAAATTTGTATTTTAAAGTCAATATAAAAAGCATTATATTACTTTTTATACGATCTAAATAAATGCCACGAGACAGACAAAACACACCTCACTCTCAACACAACACCGCGCCGGATGCCGCAGTAAGTATTGTTTTTATAACATTTCTGAACGATATCTAAAACAGCCTGCACTATTAAAGAATCGCACTATTTACGCTTTCTACGGAATTTCGTAGTCCAGACGTCTCTGTGATAAAATATACCCACGTATATTATAAAGAGACAAGCAACTTGCTTTAATTAAAGTTTGTTTAAAATGATATCTCTTATCTTTGCACTTTTTTATGCTTAAGATGAATTTTAGCATTTTCTTTAAATATATCCTTATAAACGGTAACGGGTAAGTCATACAAGAGTGTAATTTAATATGTAAGTGTAAATAACTTGTAAAAATCTGTTCACTTGGCAGAAAAAAGACAAAAAGTGTGTAAATTTTGTATATATAGCAGTTACCATTTCATGAAGCATACATTATAAGTCAGTGTCGGCAATAAGTATTACATTTATAGGCCGCGCAAAACTTAGTTACGCTTAGTGAGAAGCTAAGTGAAACGCTATTAAGGGACTGTGTTTTGTGTGAAGAGGTAGAAGGATAGCGAGTTACAGTGCTGTGCGACCGAGACGGAATTCAGAGGCTCAATAAGTTTCGCGCGGCCAATACTTAATACTAATTTTATGTAAAATTACTGTAAATAAATTGTAATGTATCTTAAACTTATATGTTTATAGGGAGAAAGCAACGAGACCCGCATTGCAGTCGCGAATCAGCGCGCGAACAAATTGCTCAAATCCTAAGCAGTTCCCTCTGTCAGCCATTTTGGATTTATCAGTGACGTCACCAATTATTCATTTTTCCGTTTTAACGCGTTTGCATTCTTTTCAATTCAATTTAATCTTAAATATCTTCGTGGGTGTATTCGGGCCTATAATGCAATGTTTGGGTGACGGTCTACGCAAATAATTGACGACTGCTTCTATCTGAATCGAAAGGTTTCATTTGTAATAACCAAACGTGTTATGTTGCTATTAAAGAACGAAATAATATACTCTGTAAAGGACTATAACGAAATACGTAAATTTTGTTGCAAAATCTATATATATTTTTTTAAAACATCGTTCTTTATAAATCGAGAATCTGTTCTCGTGTAAGGTTTAATATATAGTCAGTTTAATCTATAATTGTGAAATTAATGTAATTGTGATGGAGAAAGTATTCCCGTGACTTTACATTGATTGAAAAGATAGCCCATCGCGAAAAAAGAGCACGATTGTTTATTCATGATAGGTGCAATAAATGGTCTAGTTTAACTTAAAAATAGTTTTGAGCGTAGCGAGGCAGTTATTCGTTGTCCGTATAAATAAAGTGTATATCTTAATATAATAAAATAAAGCATATACTTTGCCGCTTATATTGTACTTAGGCCAGTATAAAACGCAAAACTCGTAAAGTTCAATTAGATTGGAGTGTAGGAAAGAATAACATTACATATTGCTCGCTTTTTTCGTTTTTCTTCGTTATTCGTATAATGTCGTCTGTTGTGTCCAAATGTTATTCGACCCTAACTCCAACGTTCCTAGTCACAAGGACTATTTCTACATATTATGATTTAACATACTTATATCCCGGCTCCTCTTACATAAGTGCTTTATTATTTAATTTATTTAATTTGATTAATGTGCCAAAACGCTCATACACAATAAATATAGATAACAATGTACGCATATCGAACTAGAGGTCTTCAATTATCGATTATATTCAGAATAATTCATCGTCAAAATATTATATAATATTCTTGCTGTTCTAACAGTTATATTAATCGAGATTAGAGGCAGTTAGAGAGTGTACCAATTAGCTAAATAGTATCGTTTTGAAATTGTATCGACAGGTAGATTTATATTTAATGAACATTAATAAAAAAACGAAATAAACTGAAACTAGATTATTTACCATTTCTCCCTTCACCTAACTTATTTAAAGAAAAGAAATCATTAAAAATTTGTGAAGACATCATTTATATGAACATTTCTGGGAAAATACCTTCGTCCTATGATTTTTCTATATTTTTAATTACAAAAAGGAAGGCTCTTCGTTTCTCTTTTCAACCTACTATGTTTTCGTTATTAGATTAAGAAAATGGTGCCTGAATTAAAGTTAAATTAAATTTAATTTAATTTATTTATAATAGTTGTCAGTTATTTTGTAACAGAATTAGCTTATAATATTTCGATTAAATATTAATATCATTATCGTTATATTATAGTCAGTCAAGCTGCTGCATACTATATGTAGCTGCTAAATCAAAGAGTTTATCATTACTATTGTGAAATTTAATCATAAAAAATATGTATCCTCTATTGGATTTGGATCGCATACAAAATGTTATAGAGATTAAATTCTAAAGTAATATGATTACCTAACAAACATGCAATAGTTTATTAGATAGTTGAGCATTCAAAACTTTATTATTACTCAAAGTATGTTGTTGTAAGTGCGACTAATAATACGGTACCGGCCTTAGGTATATTGGACATATGAGTATTAAAGGCGAAAATGGCTTGAAGTTATACTCAAGTACAGACAAGTGCACTGGTGAAGTATGACCGACATTGAAGTTGAAGCTTAATGTAACGGCATAAGCCGATCATGATTTCTTAATCGCCACAGAAGTGCACGCGTCTGTACCGGCGTTAGTGTTAAGTGTTTTTTCGAAATTATCTCTGTCTTTCTCTCAATCATATTAGTTAAGACACAAATATGTACTTCTTTAAGTGATAATATTTTAATAATAAAAACTTTAAAACTGTTATCTCCTAGCATTCCGTTGTGACGCGCCTCTCGTAAGCCGTTAGGTGTGTTTAACCGCCTACGCGTTAGTAACTCTATGTATTTGTAATCAGCCTAATTAATGCGTTACATAAAATAATAGAGAAGATATATAGAGATTGTCTATTTTCTTTAAGAATAATGAACCTCTACAGTTAGTGTTAAAAGTTAATTTTAATTAAATTATTGATTTGTTAAAATATCGGGAAGTGTTTTATTTTTATTATTTCCTTTAGTAGCACTAAGAATGTAAATCGTTTTGGTTATTGGGACATTATGTTGCCGTTATAGATGCATATTATTTATATTTGCATAATACCTATGTACTTAGCGACGAAATACCAGTTGGCTTTTTTTTTAATGTGATGATTTAATGTGCAACACCCGTGGGTTTGCAAATACGTTGCCACCTTTTAATAATTGGGCTTTGAAAATAATAAATAAATACCTCTACTCTACGCCTGTCTTATTGAGTCTACAATTATTAAGTCTCGACTATCCTGTAAAGTCACGTTCATGAAAAACCGGCCAAGTGCGAGTCGGACTCGCGCACGAAGGGGTCGGCACCATTATCTATAGAAACGGCAAAAAAATCATGTCTGTCGTATAGGAGCCCAAATATTTTTT